CCTTTATATATAAAATAGTTATTACCAAAATGGCCCAATTTCACACAATCAGGGAGAGAGACAAAAAAGCAAAAACTAGAATGGAAAAGAATTTTAACACATTCCATGGTACCAGTAATTTACCAATTCTAAAAAGAGGAAATAGAGTTAGAATAAAATTAGATAAAGAAAAATATTGTCACACTGAAGGAACAATCCAGTCAGCAGACAGACAACAGGTCGTATATTGTGACAAGTAATCAAAGGGATTTCCGATGAAATAGGAAACATTTCATTTTTAGGTTTTGAAAATAGACTTTTGAGAAATTAATCAATTAATGATTATTACAAAAATCATCAAACAAATAATAATACAGGAGAAAGTACTGAAAAAAAAACAAGACGAGGAGGAAAAATACAAACTCCAAAATATTTGTTTGATTTCATAAAGTGAGTGATTTATCGCCCTTGGGCTGTAGCCAAAACAAACTTTGATTTGTAATTATTTATTTTGTTATTTGAAAAAATTATAAAGAAATTAATAAAGAAAATAAACTACCTTAGGAGGGTGAGATGTTATAACAACATCATTGATGATGATGATGATGATGATGATGATGATGAAGATGAAGATGATGAAGATGTCTTTCGGTCTCACTAGCGAATGCTGGGATCAAGACTGATCCAGCAGGAGAGTTTTAATAAAATACTTTCTTGAATTTATCACATGTGTTGTCTTTATGTTGCTTCTACTTTTCAGCGGATAGTCTCATATAGCTTTCCACCCTAAGCCCACTGGAACGCATGCCAAAATTGTTCGGTAAAAGTTTGTTACAGGTTCAAAAATTGACTTAATGATGTAGTAAAAAATACCAAAGGGAGGTAACAAATAACACTGACATGATGATTTTGAACTTAGGAAAGTAAATTGACTATTGAAAACAATATGTATAATTTAGTTTTATGGTCAATGTTTATATATATATATATATATATATATATATATATATATATATATATATATATAGAGAGAGAGAGAGAGAGAGAGAGAGAGAGAGGAATGTAACGTAGTTATTCTCATTCAGTCTCCTTTTTTGGTCGTGGGTTACAGGTTCTTTGCATATTGCGTTTGAATATATTTTCGGGTAAAATGTGATGAAATACTTTTTCATACTCAAAATACTAGATCGGTCACCAACATTTTCAAGTACCCACTATTTTCTGTTCAGTTACTCATCGCCCACTCAGCAGTTGATATCGCCCAAATTGAGAAACCCAGATGAAGTGCTGTTTATCCCAGTGAATTCTATTTGTCAAAAGCTAGTGTGTAATTCCCAATTGGTTATTTCTTTTTATTCCCTACTACTATTGCATTATATTACATACACACAGTTCTTGGATATGCTATCTTCCCATGGGCTCTTGTAGGGTGTCTCCGAATGTCGAAGTGCTTTTTAACCTGAATCTCCCATCGGATTACATGGCCAAAATGTATGGACATAAGTACATTAATAGGCTCCTAGCCTAATAATGACAAACACAGTATTTATATTAACATAAACCCCTTTCTTTGCTAATACTTTTAATTCATATAGAAATTCACTTGGTAACATGAGAGTCTACTGACTTAATAACTCACCTTTATATACCATCTCATGTAGTTGTGGCAGAGATAAAAAAAAAAAGGCCAGATCAGCCGACCCCTTGAAAAAGCTTGAAGAATGTCGAAAATTGTAATCCATAGAATGACTATGAAATCAAATATGGCTGACTATGTGTATAGAAAAAAGGGAATTCACCAGTTCTGCATATAATTCAGCATTATAATAATAGATATTAAAAACCATCTAGAAAATATGACTATAAGCACGCATGATACGTTCTCATATTTCCATAGCAGACCAAGCATAGTAATGAATACTATAAAATACCCCTTCATTAGGAAAGAACGAAAATTAAGCTTAAGGCTTCAAAATAGCTATATCTGATTGTTCTAATGGCCTAGTAGACCTAGCTGTGTGCTCAATCTCCTGTTAGGCACTAAAGATCATATACTTTATTTCAATGGAAAAAGCATCACTAAGAAGTTTAATTGATACTGGGCTATGTCCCTTGGTATGGACAGTAGAATATGAACAATCTCCCTCCGTAGAAATTCTCAGAAATCTACAGAATACGACTAACAAAATAAAAAGGCTAGAGATTTCAATAGAAGTAACGGTATGATAAACCCAATCAAAATTATGGCATTCGTCCGAATAGACTAATCTTTAGTCCTTTCGGACTTCATCGGATTAAATTGATGTTTACGTTGATGCAACAACACACGAAACACGAAGTAAAGGGAAGATGAGAATTTTAAATTTATTTTTTTAAATATATGTTTTGCGTATATATAATCTAGCAGATTTTATTTTAGATTATTTTTGCTTTTGTTCATGTTTGCATCTCTTTTAAATTATCCCACATTGTGATAATAAACGATCTGCCAAGAATGGCAGAACGTTATAAGAACCTGTACGCAAATTCACTGTGGATGATCTAGCGATTAAACCACTTTCTAAGCATTTTTATCTTAGTAAATGTTTTTCTCTTTTAATTCAAGTAGCATTTTTTTAAATCAGAATTGTGGTTAATCTCATTACGGTAAGGCTTAACTGAGTGTGTTGTTTTGCACATTAACCCTTTTGTATTCATATAATCTTTTATTTAAATTCCTTGATGTTTCTCCTATGTATTCCTTAGGGCAATTATTACAGGTAATAGAGTAAATGCCTTCTTCAAGCTTTAGCTTAGTATTTTGTTTTCTATTAAGTCTTTTTATTGTTTTAGACGTAGTTATGATAAATTTTATGCTGAGTTTAGATAAATTCTTTTCAATTGTAATTTCGATGAAGTTGGAGGGTATTTCGATTCGTTGGGTTTGTTAGGAAGGGCCGGTTTTCTATTTTGAAGTATTTTATGAGCCTTTTTTTTAATTGAATATGAAATAATTAGGGCATTGCATGTGCTTAAAAGTATTTTAAATGTATTTCTCTTCTTCGTGTAAATACTGAGGGCTACAAATCCTGAGTGCTCTTAAATAGAATCCGATGATTATTCCAGATTTTATTTCGTTGTGATGATGAAAATAGAAATTTATGAGACCATTTTTATTAGTTGATCTTCGATGAATAGTAAATTTTAGGCTGCGGTTAACGCGGTATAACATGATATCTAGGAAACGTAAAGTATCGTTCGTTTCTATTTGATAAGTAATTTTTATCATATGTTCGATTTTGTTTAGTTTATCTACAAGGTCAGGTTAATCAGTTCTACGTGGATTAATAGAGCGTCATCATTATATCGGTATTATGTTGATTGTTTAGGTAAACTATTTTAGAAAGGATCAGATTAAAGGAATGCTAAGAAAATAAATGCCATCACCCCATTGGTAATCCAAGTCTTTGTTTATAAAAATTATTGTTAAATGTAAAATAGCATTAATTGCAGATTTTTATTATTTTAGCTATTGGTAGGGAGAGGTTTGTTTTTGATTATTTTAGATGCTTTTTTAAAAGATTTAAGCAGTTCTTAGCATTGACGTTGGTATAAAGTGATTTAATGTCTAGAATAGCTATGATTTTTGTTAGTCATATTTGTTCCCCTTAATTTTTCAACAAGGTCGTCTGAATTTTTAACATTTGATGGACTGACTGTTTCAAAGAGAGGGGTTAAAGCTTTCACCAATTTGTGGGGAGCGTTGACAATACGTGAAATAATAGGGTGCATTGGGATGCCTGCTTTTTGAGTTTTAAAGAGACCATAAATTTTTGATATTCCAGGGTGATATTCTATACAATGATTTGTTTTCATTTTTAATTAGTTTTCTATTAAATTTTTGTGTTTCAGTAATTATTTTCTGTTCATTTATTTTTTCATGTGAGTCGGTATCGTTGAGTAGTAAATTAATTTGATCATTGTATGTGTTCCTATTCATAATAACAATCCTATCTCTCTTGTCTGATGAAGTAATATGGATTTCCTTAATTTTTGGCTAGGTTCCCTAATGCATTTAAGTGTCTCTGGGGTAAGGTTCTTTCATTGTTGGTTTTTTGAGTGGCAGTAATTATTTCTTAAATTAAGCTTTGGTGAATTCTCTGTTGTTTTGTCTATGATTTTTAACTCTTGTATCAAATACTGTATTGAAATATGTATATTAATTTCCATAAATAGAAATTATTGTTAGATGCGTTGTATTTGTGTTTGTTTAGACGTCTCTGCTTCTTAAACTGTTTATTTTTCGTCTGGCTTGGTTTTTAAAGTCTTTAATAAAATATTTGTGCCCTTCAACAGGATTCGAACTTGCGTCCCTGTTATGCCAGGGAAACCGCCGTACAGCTCGGCGTGCTTTTAGAAGGACTCATCCCCGAAGGACTTTACGGAAAAATTTAAATGACATCGGTCGACAAATATTTTTTAGTATCTTGGTGCAGTGAGAATAATAGGGGATTTTAAGCAACTTTGTTGCGCTAATTCTTAAAATGACATTACCCTATTACGTCAAGTTTTTCTTTTCCGCTCTGGGATATGCTCATTTAAAAGAAGATTAAGAAAAGTCAAACGTATTCCTTTAAAATGAATTTGTTATCCTAAAAGATTAAGATATTACATCACATACTATCTGGTTAAATCGATTTCTACAAATGGAGGAAGGGAAAAAAGGTTTATTATTACATTGTTTCTAATTTGGTGAGGACTTCAGTTTATAATCTATAATCTAAACTTCGATTTTTCACTGAATCTTGAGAAGTATATCAAGTTTTCTAATGTATAAGTTTTTTTTTACTTCATACTCCTTTTGTTTATAAATTCCTTGTTCCTAGATGTCTGCTCATAGGTACTTGAATAAAGCATACTTAATTTCGATATATTTAACTTGTACTCATCTATACAAATATGGAACGTATTTTAGAGCTCGAAATGATATCAGTTGTTGACATAAAACTGATTCTTCGGGCTGCTTAATAGAATCGACGCGAATGAAACTAAACGTCCATAAAACAAATATATTTATTTTCTTAGATCACCCTGTAAGATCAACATCAGGTCAGCTGGAAAGGATCGACAACTTTTCGTGCAAAACTTGAGGTTATCACATCCATTTGGATGTTTACCAAGGAATTTGATTGAGGTTACGACACTTCTCACTGAAGCAAATGTTTTATTTTATCTAAATGCTCGTAAAGATTTTTCTCTTTTCAATTCTCTTTACCTCCCTTTCGATAAATATTTCGATTTGTCTCGCATCCAATACACAATTTCCTTAATTTTTTTGCTTTTCACTGTTTCCTCTCTTTAATCAATATTAAGCCTGTCTTCTCTTCTTTTTTCAATAGTTTCCATATACAGTTCTTTTTCCATTTCTCTCTCTGTATCCGTTTTGCTACCTGCATATCCTCGTTTATTTTTTACTTTTCCTTCTACTCTCTCTCTCACACACACACATTCTCGTTCAATGATTCTCTTTGTCCCTTCCCCCTCTCTTTCTCTCTCTGTTAATGTCCTTTTTGTCTTTCTTATTTGATAACATTTCAATCAGAAACTAACTCCTTATTTTCTCGTCTCTCTTTCGCCATCTCTTGTTGTTCTTTTTCTTTCTTACTATTTCTGTTTTTCTCTATACATGTCCTTTCTTTTCATTTCAGTTTTCTTCTTTTCCATTTTAATTTTTTCCCTTCTGTTCTCTTACTTTCTGTAATCATTTGCTCACTCATTCATTCTCCTTCCTTTTCTTTTTACTGTCTCTCTCTCTCTCTTTCATTCAACAGCATCATCTCACTCGCCTTCTTCTTATCTATTTCTCTGTTTGTTTTTCGTTTTATCATCTTCATTTCTTTCTTTCTTCATCTTATATTTCCTATTGTTTTCTTTTCTCTCAGAGTCTTTCCAAATCGAGCGCATTTTTACAGTGTTCAGATTTTAAACAGAATGTCTATGTCATCGCCTCGAACTTTCCAATAAAAATCAGTAAATAAGAAGAAAAAAAAGTCCTTTTCTTCTTCTTTCTTCTCCGGTTTTTCATTCTGAATTGCGTCTAACTTCAGCCAAATATGTAAATACACATCTACAGTTGAAAAGGTCAGATTTGACCAGCCTTCTTCTTTTTGGCACTATATCCGACAGATTAAAAAAGAAAAAGACTTATCGGAAGAAGATAGGAAAAGTTGATGTCTACTAACCTAAAGCGGTTTCAAAATGCATTTTTTTTGTCATATGAATGACTCCTAATATCAACATTCAAAATTTGAACTTTATTAGTTACCTGTCTTCAAACTTGTAAACTATGTACAATTTTCTTTTCAAAATAGTAGCCATCACTTTAATCTCAATATAAAAAAAATATGATGACACTCAAATTTCAAAATTGGAATGTGGCTCTACAGAAGTATAGTGAAAATTCCATGAAGTAAGCAACGAAAAATTCTTAAAGAAAATGTCAACAGAAAAATATTTATGCACATAATCAGAAAAAGACAACTGAAATTCGTTGGACAAATAATGAAAAAAAGAGGGCTTGGAAAACTTAGCCCTCATGGGGCATATTAAGGACAAGAGAGATAGGGGGAAAGAGCAAGCCACTTATCTGACAAGATTGGATGCTGGTACGAGAGGCCGGGGGGGGGAGGCTTTAGTAATGGGAAAAAGGGGGTATTTTTCCTATTCAGGGGTATTTTCCTATTAACAACAGGGGGTATTTTTTCTATAAACATCAGGTGCATTTTTCCTATTAAAATCTTATATGAATAATTAATCTTTTCCCCTGGTAGTAGTGGGAATTAGTCGTTATTATTGTTGCTTTCTTATTTCTGGGTCTTTTATAATTAAATTGTTGGATTTTGATTCCCTTGCCTGTTAAACAGGATTCTGTTCATCAGTTATAACGTAAAAGTAACATTGGCTTACTTACTACGGGTTCATTCATTCAAGACGAAGTCTAACCGCCTTCTCCTCTAACTTCTTTCCGCTTTTTTTCTCCACCTCCTGGCACCTTGTCGAGCTATGACTTGTTGAGCTAGTTGTCAATGCCCGATGACATTGAAACGGCGCGTTGACAGTTTTATTAGTAGAAATAAATTTTATGCCTACAATAAGTAACCATTTTGAGGACTTCGTTTTAAGTTAGCGTATAGCAACTTTTTAATAACTTATCCTTTGCTTTCATCTTGATAGTTTACATTTTTATGTCATTTTTTTGAGAATATTATTAGTAGAAATAAATTTCATGCCTACAATAAGTAACCAATATTATAAACCTGTCACTTGATTAACATCTAAATTTGATTTTAAATGACTTGTGCCGTCAATAGGCATCCAATACAGCAAGTTAACTTCTAACTTATCATAGATCAGATATTTGATTGGTTAATCTAGGTCGCCCCTAGAATGTTAGATATTTAGTTTTTCCCCCTTCCGCTTCTTTTGAGGGTATTGCTGCTTTTATACCATAAAATGGTCGTTTATTCTCCAATTAACCGCCATCGGCTGAAGAAGCACCTATGGTGCTGAAACATCATTGCATTTATGTAGCGGTTTAGAACAAGTTTTTCTTATAATTGTCAATAAATATTATTAAGCTCTACTCTGTATTGAGCACTTTTTAAAATGTAATTTTTGACATTGGAATTAACCAACCTTACACTTGTATATATATATATATATATATATATATATATATAACGATTGACCCTTTATTTCCATAGGTTAATGTTCGGGAGTCTACAGTTATTATAAAATGAATGCGTTTCATTGTTAATATTATTTATCGATATTTTCACACTAGTAACAACTGATAGCTTACAGCGGAGATTAAACAAATCACTTCAATAGTCCAGAATTTTCCTTAGTATTCTAACAGCATTATTATTTTTTCTTTCTTTTCTGTTGTATACATTTTTTCTTCCGGGTCCCCAAAAAAGACTTAAGGTCAGAAATGAATTCATGACATCTTCCAATGATCATTTTTTGTAAATAAATAAAAAAGACTTAAGATCACACACATTTTACATGGATAAATTATTATTATTATTATTATTATTATTATTATATTTCGATTTCTGCTATAGTCACACTACCTACCAAGTCAGCAGGAAGATCTCAGTCAGGTAGTGGTGTGTTGTTATGGCTACATTTTATGATTTGTTTTTCCAGCTTTACATGGACAAAGTTCTTAGTGTGCGAGCTGTACGTATCAAGACAATCTTTTTGTATTTCTTTTAAGCTGGGATTTCCAGAGATTTTTTCATTGTGTTATTGTGTTCTTTTTTTATCATTCCAAGCGCACCTATTACGACTGGTATTATTCTTGTTTTCAATTTCCACATTTTTTTATATTTTGATAGTTTTTCAAATTCCTTCGTTGCTATGTTACAGTCCGCTGGGCAAGCCATATCAATACATGGTCAGTTTTCTTTTCTTTTCTTTTTTTAACAATTATGTCCGGCTTATTTCCTTCAAACTTCCTGTTTGTAAAGATGGTGTAATCCCATAGAATTTTGATGTCTTCTGTTTCTGCAACCGGTGCTGGGTGATGTTCATACGATGAGTGTTAACTTTAGCAACGTCGGCTTTATTAGTATATTGGGCATGCAGAGGTTTGTCTTGCCAGCGTTTATTCTTGACTTTCTTTTTCATATTTTTTGCTTCAACAGTTTTACAAAATACTAAAATATACTAAATATACTAAATGTAAAACCGGTTTGTATTTACAGCTTTCTTTCATGATTGAATATTTTTTTCTTTCCGTTTTCGTGTTGTTTGACTAATTGTATCATCGAGTCCTTTGTTGTTTCCATGTATGTTAGTAAACCAATAGCTGTTGTCTTGTATGACAATTCTAGCTGAATAAGATATTTACTACCTTCTTTATGGGATATGTATAGACGGTTTGCATTAACCTTTGGATGATTCATGTTATGCTTAGAAACATTCTTGTCTTAGGATCCATTCGTCTGATGTCATTTAGAGTCCCGGTCAAGATGTTCAAACTATATTGAACCACTTGGATGGTAAGGCTATTAATAGCCATAATTCTGTTTTGAGAATTCAGGTCAGTTCCTTTTATTGTACTCTTTTCGTGGCATTTCTTTCATTTTTATGATGAATTTCTTCACCCTCATTTATTATTATTACTGTTATTATTATTATTGTTTGTGTATGTTATATTTCCTACTTTGTGTCCTGTAAAGCCGGGTTCAAACTATGGTCCTTAGGCCCTATAGGAGAATTGTCATTTAATTAATAGCACTTCTCTTAGTATATGGGATGTTCCTTGTAAGACGATCTTCTGGGCAACTTGTATATTGATGTTACCTGGGACACTTAGTAAAATTGTCCATTCCTTTTTCTACGAGGCCCAGAGTTCCAATTACTATTGGTACAGTCACAGTCTTCATTCTCTACATCCTGTTAATCTCTTCAGGTCCTTTTATTTAGACAATTTCTCGATAATTTTCATGGAGGTGTTTCATCTCAGATGTTACTGCTATGTCAATAAGCATACACTTCCTGAATTTCTTGTCTTTTATGATAATATCAATTCTTTTATTCCCCTATCTGTTTGAATTGGCATGACCCAGAGGATAGTTACATCGTAACTGTCTGGTTGGTGCTCATACCATCTCTCATTGGTTTCACTTTTGTGCTTCTTGCATATCTTCCAGTGCACATATGTCGCTTGTTATGTCTGTGGGTATATTCATTTTTTTCTAGTTTCGGATATCCTAAGATAATATGATCGACAGTTTCATCATATTTTCCGCAGATCCTGCATTTCGGGTTAGTTCTATCCTTGATTATGTGACAGTGATAGGATCTGATTGCAAGGCGTTGGTCCTGAGCAGCGATAATTAGACCTTCCGTTTCAGCTTTCATACCGGCGCTCCTCAGCCACTGATGTGTTTTCTGTTGGTCTACATCTGCTTCTTTCATTCTTTTAGGCATTTGCTATGCAATGCCTTGTCCTCCCAGCTTTTTGTAATCTCATTTGGCCAAATTGTTTTGCGTTCTGCTTTACTCGTTTGGCGTGGTTGGTATTCGCTTCGTTTTTGTTTTTGTTTTTGTTTTGTTTTTTTGTTTTTTGGTAGGGTTTCAGATATATTAAGCTGTTTCTTGAAGAGTGCAGCTTCTTTGTTGATGGAGTGGATTTGGTACTTTACTATTTGTAAGAGAGGAACATTAGTTTTTGTTAAGTAGGTTTCCAATCCGATTGTTGTAGATTTTAGAGCTAGTTCAAGTTGGATTAAAGCTAATGGTACAGACAGCCTATCAACATCTGATTTCGGGTGGTGCTTCCTCATTTGGGTAAGCATTTTTCTGGTCTTGGCGTCCAATCTTTTAATGTCATTCAACTTCCATTTAATAATGTTGAAGCTGTATGTTACTACGGGTATAGCTAAGGTGTTGATAGCCTTCATTTTATTGGCCCCATTAAGTTCGCTTTCTCCTATCAAATAATATTCTTTTCGGATCTTTTTCTTGATAATTGAATGTTGTATTCTGTTTACTTTAATAATTCCTAAGTATTTGTATATACCATCTTGGTCTAGTTCCTTAATCTTTTTGTTGATATCAAGGTCTAAATCCGTGGTTTTCGTTAGTTTACCGCCTTTAAATTTGGATTTGACACATTTGTCGATTTCGAAATCCATCCTAATGTCTTCTCTGAAGGTTTTAACAATGGTATATATATATATATATATATATTCAGTCAGTAAAATAAAGTTGCTTCATATTTTAATAGCTAAAAAGTTAGCGTACGGCCTTGATTCGTTAATATGAGAAAGTAGAGAAGATTTCAACTAACTCGACTTTAAAATTATGTTTTTTATTTGATACATTCACAATTAAACCTTGTTTATACAAATGTAACAGGGCACTGAGTTTGTTTAAACATTTAGTTGCATGAAATTACAGGTTAATGATCTGGAGGAACTATTAATTGGATCATAATTATTAAAATTCTCAGGAGAATGGTTGAAAAAACAATGAAGAAAGAAACTGGTTAAAAATTGTTTTAAAGCAATAAAATTAATTTAAAATGGTTCCAATGAGAAACGAAGCCAGAATTAACTCACCAAGATTCATTAAAACTGAACAAAACTTCCCGCCGATAAGAAGGCAAGATGTTGTCAGAATAGATACATTTTATGCATCAATTTATTTGTTTTATTTGATAAAGGTAACAACAGTTTTATTGAATATAAATTCAATAAACCTGCTGTTACCGTTATCATCAAGTTCTTATTAAATCCCTGATTCCCAACGTGATCCTAGGACACAGAGACACAAAATTTACAACGGTCGTAAAGTAAGAATTATTCCTTCTTAACTACGGCACACAACGTACATAAATGGGTCCATACTAAAATTCGCCCTCAATCCCAATATCGTATGATTTGAGGAAACCCGACTCAACCCTATCGAAACGACACACCGACCTCAACCGAGGAGGGAAAAATGAACCGAAAGATCGGTAATATTCAACAAAGCTAACGACTAAGGAAGAAAAGGAGAACAAAGACGGGAGAGAGAGAGTGTGAGTAGAGGATAACACAAAGAAATAAGCAAAGAAAATATTTCTAACCACTCAAACTACCTACAAAAATTTACCTTCGTTAATAGAGAATATTTTGACATTAATCTTATTTTACTACATATTCAAGTACGGAATTTATACACTTTTGTCGGCAGCGTAGATTAAATCACCCATAGGTAGAGGATAGATTATTTTAACACTCTACGGATCATAAAGAAAAAAATACTCTTAAGCCTGATTTTTCTTCCCAGCACCCACATAGAGTAGAGCTCTTATTATTCGATTGATACTGTACTAACGATTCAAGTCTTTATATCGCTTAGGGACTCTATAATCGCACTGATGTTTTTTATAAGATGACAGCGAGTCAAGAACGCCGCTTGCATTTAGTGTTCAATGATGTCAGCGGTGCGATCATTAGGATAAAAAGAAACTTTCCTTCACACATCGCTTTCCTCAATGGGATCCTAATGAATGTCGGCATTCCCACAGAGACTGATATGGATTTTGTTGCTATTAGGAAAAAATAAGTAAAGTAAAATAAGTCATCTGCAGTAAAAGTAAAGTGAACAATTTTATGTTGCAGGTTAATTTTGTCGAGAGTTCAGTTCTCACTAAGTACCCCACTACTTTAGCTTTGCATCAAACTCATCTAAACGCAGTAAGCAGTTAAGGAGCTCATCGTAGAGTAATGTCGTGAGTTCGATACGAGCTTCCCTACATATGTAGCCTTGTGTCAGACTAGAGTAAGCATAGACGATATCAAATATAAAATGGCCACAACCTTCAATTAGAAAATGGATTGATATTCAAACGTTGGTTCACTTACGTCCATTAAAAATATATGATGTCTTACTTCCCTTAAAGCAAATCAATTAATTTTGATGTCTGTTATTTTTCTTTCTTTTTCCTTTCGTTTTTTTTTTTTTTTTTTTTTTTTTTTTACAATGCAGCAGATATCTTTCTTCGGCGTCTGTCTCTTTTGAAAAGAGTTATAATTTTTGTTAGCATTCTTTATATCAAATTAAAAAGATTGATTTTTACGCGTTAATCAAATTTTGGAAGAGACAAACATTTGTAAGACATTTGATCGTCTGCCAATAACCATCAATTTTTCGATAAAAACAGTTGAAAACTAAATTACATTTCTTCTGGCAAACACGCGAAGCTGATGTCGAGTTTACGTTCAAATTTTATATATTTAAACGTATGTATTTATTTACATCTATCTATCACTTATGAAAATTATAATTTTCAAAATATAAACTATAAAAGTTCCTAAAATAATCAATATTTGATGACTAAGGAATATTGTAGATTTTGTTGATATTGATGCGTCTGTAGTGTTTTCAAAACAAGTCATTTTAAACCAAGATTCTATTTTTAAGAGGTTTTTCATGAAAATATACGATAAATATCCGTAGTCGGTTTTATCTTTATTTAATTTCTTCTTTGCTGATCGCTTCCTTTATGATCATGTACGAAAATTTTATTTCTTACCAAATCTAAATTCTTGTATCAAACACAAAAACTTAATTATAGAAATAGCAAATCATAATGACAAATAAAACTTAGCCACTGCGTAAAATTTTAAAGGTAAAACATTTCTTGCACAAGTACGAAAAAGGTACAAATACAAAGTTTGCCTATTAAGGCAGGATAATTTCTGATTACAAGATTGCCATCGAAAATGGGAAAAAAAATACAGTTTGGGAAAGACAAAGATTCCGAGAAAAAAACAATTCAAGAAGACAGTAGTAAAACAAATGTGCAGCCACCTTTGAGAAAAAATTAAAAGACCTACTTTTACTTTCCCCACGAGCGTTTCTGAGACATATGGTATATTTTTAAAAAAGTCCCTTTTAAAATTACATTTTGTGCTTTGTAAAATTTCTTTAAATTCCTTTTCATCCTTTGTTGCCCAACCACAGGAGAATTTTCATTTGAACTTCAAAAATTCTTTAGCCTCTCTGCAGCTGGCTTGTAACCTGGTAGTCTTCTTGACGTTCTCTTCTTGACGTCAAAATGTCTACTGCTCCTTGATATTGATTTTTCTTGTCCCCTTTCTATCAAAGGCTCACACGGCCCCCATTTGAATTGTTACTAGAGGCTACGTCTCTCATTGATTAGTATATAAGAAAAAATAATTTTCCATAAACTGGAAATGTATCCTTCACAATTTTGGTGTGATTTCACCGATGAGCCGAAAAAATATACAAGTGCAACAATTTACGCAAACCGTCTCGTCTCTCAAAAGAACGTTAACTAAAAAAAAAAAAAAAAAAAAAAAAAACAACCTAGACGATTGAACATTTATTCAAGACTAACATTTTTAAAAAGTAGTAAAATAAATTTTTTATAGATTGCGATAATGACTAAGCAGACCAACTCTTGCATGTTAGAGTCGATGGCATTGACTGCATAGTAATGTTGTTGGTGGAAGACGAGGTTGATTTTGCCTAGTCTTTTTATATTATTCTATATTCTCTATTTTTTTATATATATCTTACCATTTTACATCTTCCTTTTATCTTCTGGTAGCTTCGAAGATTTTGGTTCCGATGATGACGGAACATCAGTTCTTACGTCTCTGGCAAGATAAATCATACTTATTATAAAACCCAGGTTGTGTGTGTGTGTGTGTGTGTGTGTGTGTGTGTGTGTGTGTGTGTGTACGTTTATATATTGGATTGGATTTCCTACATTTTTCAACTGATTTCAACAAAACTTCACAGGACTATGTAAAATTACCCTGCAGTGGTTCTGACAGTGCCAAAAATTGGAAAAACACAATTGTTTTTGCATAAAATCAATTTGAAAACATGATTAAGAGGCATCGTGAGAATGAAAAGGGGACAACTCATATCGAGTTATACTTATTATAAAACCCAGGTTGTGTGTGTGTGTGTGTGTGCGCGCGTGCGCACGTGTGTGTGTTCATTTATCTATGGGATCGGATTTCCTACATTTTTCAACCGATTTCAACAAAACTTCATTTTTTTTTTGGCAGGTACTGTTTCTTATTGTCTTGCACACTTTTTTCTTTATTTTTACATTCAGAATGCTTTAAAAATTACATTTACAAGGCATTTGTTTATAATAAAATTCTCTTCAATCGGTAGACTCAATAGACGAATTGGTCAAGCAAAACATTGTTTTCAATCGTTAGATTGAAAACAATGTTTTGCTTGACCAATTCGTAAAAAAAAAAAAAACTAATTAAGACATGCGTGTCCGTCAACCTTAAACAATAATCTTTGTCAATTTTATTTTTCAGTCTTTATGATGGTCGATACTTGATCTATCTCTTACTGTTACATCCCCGGGCAATGCCGGGCTTTACTGCTAGTATAAGATAAGTATAAACTTCAGTGGTCAAACGATCAGAAGACAACTGTAATATATACGTCGAAGTAGTTACAAAAATGACTTTTTTGAATAAATATTGGGTTATAAACTACCTACGAATAAAGAACTTTGAGGAAAAAATTGATATTTTGATTTGAGAAAAAAGAAAAATATCAGATTTCAAAGAATAGATGAGATTCATAAATGATGAATTAACTGGGAAAATTATCGTTATAAAATAGAGAAAACCATATATATTATGCATTATAAATAGGCCAGAGCGAGGGGGCGAGAGAGAGAGAGAGAGCATAAGGATATGTTATTGAAAGCTACTCTTCAAAATTGGCTCCTTATTGAAAAATAAATTTATAAATTTAGCAAAAAACATAGATGTTTTTCTATGCGAATATTCTATATGTTGAAGCAAAAATGAAAAAAATATTAAATAGATATTTTCTCGTTTTGTGAAAAGAAATGAAAAAGGCGCTGAGGGAATCAAAAATGAAACAGAATAGAAAGCCAAGAAAGACAACTCTTTTCATGTTTATCCGTTCAGAATCAAACAAATTTAGGCAAGTGTATCGTTTCGTGTTTTCTTAGGTGTAATATTATATTTACTACGAAAACCACAGTAGTTATTTTCTCTCTCTCTCTCTCTCTCTCTCTCTCTCTCTCTCTCTCTCTCACCTGTCTTACACATGCACTGCAGACGATTATATCTTCTAATCATATATACTCACTCCTTGTTTTGTCCGAACCCTTGTCACGGTTTTATTTTACGTTTTCTTTACATACACTAGAAGAATTAGTAGTCATATTATCTTGAATTGTATTTTTTATTTACTATATGTACTGTTTATTAACGGCCTTAGAATAACGACCTCGATAGTTGCGATGAAAATTAATAAAAATGAAGGTGAAATAAGTCAAAAATTAATAATGGCTGGTAATGCTTCATCTGATGACAAAAATACGAAATAATAAAATTTTCGATTATCTTTTCTGACTTTTTTTCCTTTTTCGTTCAGCTTCAGAGACGGTTTGAATTTAGTAGAAATATCAAATAATCCGAGATAATCAAATAATCCAAGATTATTTAATAATCCGAGATTAATCTGTCTCTTTCTATAAGTTAAAGTCAAAAAATTAACGATTGAATGTTTTGAAATTATAACTGCTTTAGGTGGCAACCAGCCTAAGAAAGGAAAAAAAGTTTCAAACAGTGGAGAAGCCACTCCACTATCTTTTGCAAGAAGTCCTGGCAATTCACAGATCGTAAAGAAAAAGAATCCTTGGAGAGCAATGATTACCCACGTCCTGAAAGACATAGTAAAAAAATGTACAAACATCGATATATTGATCTACTCACATGCAATGCAATGCTTAAAACTGCCCAGTAGTCTTGATGCGACGTCATTACTAATTTCTTTTTCCACGTCAATTGATTACATATCATGCCATGTTGTGAGTCGTGAATTTTCCTCAGATACAAATGAACCTATCATATTTTTGCTTCTATTTTTACAAAGAGTCGAAATCGTATTTTTATATAAATATATGCTTTGCATCAGAAGATCATTCTGAGATTTGATACTATGTAAATGTATCCGATGTAAACGCGTGTGATGCATTTGTATGTGCATAAATGTTTATACTTGAATAGATCACTAAGACTGTATGCTGACACGTAGTTACTAGCTGAATTTTGATCTGAATTATTCACTATATAATGTTCAATCTATGTGACTAGAAATTAAAATATCTAGGAAGATCTAGGAACAAATAACGAAAGATGAGACACCGAAATCCGACGCTCATTGGATTAGCGAAAGATGCCTTCTAAAACCTAAACAAAGTATTAAGAAACAAGAAAATTTCGTAAGAGTATTAAGAAAACAAGAAAATTTAGTAAGAAACAAAGGAAGAATGTTGAACTGCTATACTGTAATATCAATCCTTCTATATGGAAGTGAATGCTCGACAATTTCGTCACGTGCGAAGAGAAAACGAAGCAACAGAGATGAGGATCTACAGAAAGATGCTGAGAATACCATGGTCGGAGCATGAAAATAACATGGAGATTTTAATGAAACTCTCTAGACCCTTGCAATAAATGCGCAGATAAGATATGTGTTTATTTATACACAAACATACATACACTTACATACAATCATAACATATTGAATACTTTTTAATGAACTCCATCAACTGTAATTTATAAAAAAAAAAAAAAGCACCACTGCACTGTTAGGTTAATAGAAAATATATTATTTCTTTTAAAACATACATATATCTAAAGATAGTCTATCATTATATATATATATATATATATATATATATATATATATATATATATATAATTATAATTCTTTCATATAGACAAAAACAATTTACTCACTACAAAGATGCAACTTCGTTTCGGTGCATTTACTTGCATTTCGACTGGTGAGAACCAAAATGGTTATGTCCATACATATATATATATGTATATATATATATATATATATGAATTTAGGGAGACAACTTGTCACGCCGTTGGTCAGTTTTCTTTCCCCCCATTTTAATTATTGTACTTTACTTTCCACATATAATTATTAAATACAATCAACTATCGAATCAACTATCGAATCAACTATCGAAATGTTATGACATCATAATTACTGATTCCCCATCTACCGTGCTCTCTAATAACAGTAGAAGCAAAAATATTCAAATTCACAGTCGCAATTTCAAACCCAAAAATAAAGTTATCAAAAAAGTGAAAACCTTACAGATATTTCGCAAATGAACGCGATGGCATACGCCATAAAAGGAAAGGTTTATTAATTATGAAAGAACACACTGCGAAAAATATTAGTGACATCATCACGAATCCAGGCAAAGGTGTAATTATCAAAATTTTTCAACAGAAAATTGGATAGCGAATTTCCAGGAACCGATGCCTTACGCATTTTTGATAGGAACAGGCAAGATAGTTTATCACGAGATTATAAATAGAAAATATTGCAAATACAAGTTAATCGGGCTAATATTATTTGATAAAAACATTTATAACTATTGTCGAAGCTTTGTTTACCGTGTGTTACGATAATAAAATCCATCCATTTCAATGTTATGCACAAAACATTTCTCCAAAATAATCTACTTAAAATGCAATGTATCATTTGATTTTTTTTTATACATTGCTCCTCATAAAACGTAAAAACAAATTACAGTCTGAATTTAAAGATATAACACTTTCATGGCTTTTTATGTGATATAGACATTTTAGAGCCGGGGCTTTGTGTGTATTTCTTAGATTAATATAATTTCAGAATGGATGACAACTGATGCACAAAAGTTCGTGAAATTTAAAGTTGTTCCCTTCGGATCCAAAAATCAATAAGAGTATTATGCATTATGGATGTGAACATGGCGTAATGGTTAAGGACTCGGAACTAAAACTCATCGAGTCGAATTAGTTGCATTAACTTTCACTATGAATCTAACTCTTCTACTTCTAGTAAGGAATAAATAGTACAGCAGACTGAGATTTGTGGTTGGCAACCAGTCTAGGGGAATATGAAACTTTAAATTCAAAACCGTATGTTGCCCTGACGAAACCCATATTATGCAGCTTTGAAAGTATCATGGTGTTCACAATGACATTATGAACACGACTGCAGTCGATGTGATAAATTATGGTTTATTAGTTCTGTTATAGGCAATCCTTTATAGTTAGACCAGTTATTCCCCTTTGTTCTTGACATGCGCATTGTCTGTTACTTCCTGTTCTGTTCACTTTTGCCGATTCATTATACTGTTTTCTATACGGCTATGAGGTTATTGTGCGGTTATTTCTTCTTCGTTAGTTGGTATAGCGCAAAATTCGTGCAACATTCTGTTTGCCTATGATATTGAAATTCCAAGAATTTAATGAATTCCAGTAAGACACCCTTCGCAACATTATAGAGCAACCATCAACTTGAGCAACATCCTGAATCCATAGCTTCATGCAGCTTCCTCTACACACGAACTCGACTGTCATTTCGAAAGTGTTAATTCCCGTCCATGTCTAATAGCTGTCGCAATTTTTCTTTTTTAAACGTTTCACCCCAAGCAAAGCGGGACGCCACTAGGACGCAAGGGGTTACAGAAAATTTGGAGCAAGATCAGATAGGAGTGATAGAAGAAAGGATGAGGAGAAGGGTAGTGGATAGATCAAGGCAACTGGAGATGTCGATTGACATTACACTTGAATAGCTGGAGATTATAGCTCACAGGGAAACAGGAATAGGGAAGGGAGTTCCACAGGCGAGAGGTGCGAGACATGAAGCTATTGGAGTAGAAGAGACGGCTACACTTAGGAGTTTCGACAGTGAAGGGGTGAGAGCGGGATGCCAGCCTCGTAGGGCGCTGGAACTCATGAAGTCTGGGAACCAGTGAATGCAGCTCCTCGGAGCAATTGCCATGAAAGTATTTGTAAAACAGACAGAGAGAGGCGATGGTGCGTCTGTGAGAAAGTGACTGTAGACGAGATGCCAGATCAGGGCCAATTATATTGCATATCCGCCTCTGGAGCCTATCAAGAACCCCGAGGGAAACAGAAGGGGCTCCAGACCATATATGGCAGCAATACTCCATGCAAGGGCGAATTGTTGATTTGTAGATCTGGAGGATCGATTCCGGAGAGAAAATTTCCTGGCGCGCCACAGGGAGACAACTTTCTTTGTGGTGGACGAAGCAATTGACTCAATGTATTTGTTCCATCTCAGGTCAGCAGTCAACGTGAGACCGAGCAGCCGCAGAGAGGTGCTCTCGAGAAGTTGAGCGTCAGACATTCTAATGGGGGGAGAGGTTCTCTATGGTGATTAATAGAGAGCAGTTTTGTTTTTGAAGCATTAAAGTTGACCAGCCAATTCCTGCCCCAGTTCACAACCGATTGGAGGTCCTTTTCGAGACGCACGGCCAGGTTATTTTTGTCAGTGACACTAGATTTGTTTTTGAGGCAGGAATAAATTGTGGTGTCTTTCGCGTAGATGCCAACTTTGGAATTTATGGCGTCAGGAAGGTCATTTATGTAGATAAGGAATAGAGTGGGGCCTAGGATGGAGCCTTGAGGAACACCTGCGTTCGTGGGATAGGAACTGGAGGAGAATCCGTTGAGAACGACCTTCAATTCACGGTTTGACAGGAATGATTGTATAAGGTCAAACAATCGACCCGTAATGCCATAACCCTGGAGTTTGCGAAGAAGGCCGGCATGCCAAACCCTATCAAATGCTTTGGAGATGTCTAGGGCCACGGCACGAGCTTCCCCGTTATTTTGAAGAACTCGGTAGACAGTTTCAGTGATGGCCATAAGCACATCAGCTGTAGATCGGGCAAATCGGAAGCTATATTGCTTGTCTGAGAGCAGATCATGGGATGTTTGGTGGTTAACCACCTCGGTATTGATTAGGGCTTCGAAGACTTTGCCGAAGAGGGGTAGAAGACTGATAGGACGGTAGTTAGAAGGGTCAGAGGGGTTGCCAGAGTTCTTGAAGACAGGAACAACCGAAGAGGACTTCGAGCAGTCAGGAAAATAAGATTCCTTGAGGCAGTAGTTGTATAGTTTAGAAAGGGCGGCGCCAGTTCAGGCGCGCATTTCTTCAAGACAATGGCTGGTATCCCATCTCCACCACTAGCCTTGTTGGGGTCTAAATTGGAGATAACGCCCAATACCAATGACGGGGTTATGTGTAACCCACTCAATAGGGGTTCAGTTCTAAGAGGGAAGTCGGGTATGGGTACATCAGAAGAGTCGAGCGTCGAGTTGAATGAAAATTTCCGAGCAAAGCATTCAGC